GAACTATTGAGGTTGAGTCGGAATGCGTTCCATCGAACTTCGGCCGAACTGCCATGAGTCACGGAATAATCGATCACCCCCGCCGCACGTGTTACTTCTGAGCTGTCCAAATTGGTCCAAATCTCTGTGTACACAAGTAAGCACAGGCGATGACGTGACCAGCAGGACTGGCGTTAGGCGTCAAGCACAAACCGGCTGCTGTCCAGTGTCGATCAGAGATCGGCTGTAGTAGGCCCTGCTGTCACAGTTACCGGTTGGTGACAACGAAATAGCGACTTGGTTGGTAGTACGTACTTGACGAAGCGATACCGGCGCTTCCAGCAGCAGTGAACAGCGGTGACACAGATAGTCGCTTGTAACGGGGTTTTTCTGTTTGTTTTCTAATTGGCCATCGTTGTTGTTGTGCTCGCCCTGATTGTGTTCGGTGTCCTCGCGCCGAAGGTGGAAAATCGTCGCGACGACCCGTGTTAGACGTCTAGAACGCCTAAAGTGGCCAAAACCCTGCACTGGGCACCAGTGCAAACCAGGCACCGTACCGGATTCTTTATCGGCCGGCATCCGCTGCTTTACCATTTCCGGCGGTGTTTCGGTGAGTTACATGAATATTCATTTTGAGCAGTATTCACTGGCTCGTTAAAAGAATATTCGACCCTCGCTGTTTTTATTTATTCGTCTGTCTTTTGCTATTTTGTCATGCTACCTCCTCCCTCATCTGACGTTTCCTCATTGCGGACACACCACAGGACGTCAATGCTCCTCCTTCATCTTTGAGCGTTTTTTCGCGAATGGTTGCTCAGTAGTCCATTCTGGATGCTAATCTTTTCGGACAGTTACCTATGTCTCCCTGATCCCACAGTGAATTCAGAGAAGTGGAGCACTCGGTGACGTCTTGGCGATTGACGGACAGCGCCACTGACTCAACCTGCCCAAGTCGTTTCTTGTACCACTCCCAGATCCTCAATTCAATTAGTAAGTAAGCCAGTCAGTCAGTCAGGCAAACTTACATAATTCAGCTGAATGTTCTGTCATATAGTGAATAATTTACCACCTGTAACGAGATAGGCATAGCCAACGAAGTGCTGACTGCATCATCCCTACATCGTAATATCGCTTCACTTATGTATGCCTGCAAATCGATCTATATCCACCGGTGTTGAAGCGTGATTTTGTTTCACCTACCAGAGTGGCGTTGTTTTGCACCCATGCACTGCAAGCGATAAATAATAATTAGCCGTGGCAGCTTAAACGTCCATAGGTTACTAGAAGCGAGGAACGCCGTACGAATCCGGAGAAATGACAAGAAATTGCTAAAAATTAACGATTTGCCGGCAAACCTATAATAGCGAGGTTCATTTTCAGGGTAAACGAGATTTGTACGACTTTTGCACACCATTCGACTGTGTGACTAGAGGTTGTTCCCTCCGAAGCCCATTTTTGAAGTATGGCTGGAAGTTGCGTAAAACGAGTCAGGGCCAGTACATTCCGAAATGTAATTACCTCCGTGGTGTATTGTTTTTATGCTCTGCGACTGCGAAATTACAGAAGCAAATCTCATCTTTCGCTTTTGAATATATTTATTGCACTTTTTTCCGTCTAAGTGGCAGAAAAAGTTCTACCTCCTGTCCAATCTAGGTCATAATTTAACAATCATTGTCAAACTTACAACTGATGCTCGCCAGGAAGCAACATCCTCCACTCAGCGGTAGACAGATGACGATGGGAAACAGCCACCGCGCCATACAGTTTCATTCGGTTGAAACGAATGGCTCCTACGAATTAATGCTATTTTTTCCATCGAGGGTTTTAACGCAAGTACCGTTTCTTTAGACAGAACTGCATGAAAGGACATGAGGGAGCTTTCGCGACGTAGCATACTGTTCCTCGTTAATCGATTAATCGGTCAACAGTGGTCGCTACCCACTCTCCGCCAAGGGGATACTGAGTTATGTCATATCGAATCTCGCTGTCTGGTAGTTTGTTCCGTTCGCTTCGCGGACCTATGAATAAAATCATCGTGAGGATCCTACGGTAATGGAGTGAGGCGGATGCACAAATGATAGTTTTGGATAAACTGCAGTTAAGGTCTCAGGGGGTGGTGAAGCGCGTAAGAGGCTTTGCATGGACAAAACCACGAAACAACAGCAGTTGCATGAAATCTATGACGGCAGGTGAGCACAGAACTGGCCTTACATCTTGTAATGATTGCCACCTTAAACAGTTGTTCGAAGCGCATTGTGGTCATATCGTGCCTT